TCTCTCTCTCTCTCTCTCTCTCTCTCTCTCTCTCTCTCTCTCTCTCTCTCTACTACATTTAATAATGGTTATTAATATAGCTATTTATATTATTTTTTCATATAATTACGAAAATCACCTTAAATGTGCAGTCATCAAGGATCGTAATCCGGCCTCTTAGCTGATGCAGCCCCATGCTCAAATCCGCTGAAAAGCCGACAAGTGGACTTCGCGCCGTGCACGCTCCCGATCCCGCTCCCGACCCCGACCCCGATCGCGATCCCCATCCCGCAACGCATCCAAACAGCCAGCTCATCATTATCCACTGTACACCCATCCGCCACGTGGCACTCCGCACGTCCAAGAGCCTCCATGATATCAACACCTGCTTACAATGCCTCCGCAACATGACACGTGGCCTTTTTTCTCCTCCTCTCCTCTTTCTTTTTTTTTTTTTCTTTTTTTTTTTTCCCCGCACGTTGCCTTTTATAACTCTGTCCCCACAAAATCTCTTCCCTGTTGAATGCAGTGCTATCCCCCTCCGTTCTGTCGACACCCATCAAGAAAAGCAGAAAACGACAAAAAAAAGGAAAACGACAAAGGAAAGGAAAGAGATTTATTATCCGTAATCAAACCCACCATCACCGCTAACTTATCCAATTGCCTTCTGATTTTTATTTTATTATTATTTAAAAAAAAAAAAAAAACGAAAAGGAAAAAAAAAGCTTCGATCCATTCGTGGGTGCCTCTGATCTAATGCCTCCCCCCTTCCGCCCTCGCCTCCATCTTGCCGAGCATCTTCCCCCGAATAGAACGCAGGGTCAGTAGTCTGTATGTAGGCGGACTTTAGTATCAGGTAGATGCATGATGACCCCGCGCTCTAGTCGGGGGAAGACGGTGGTTTGGTGAACACGATCTCCACCCTTAGTACACAAGAAGCACTAATTTCTTATTATTTTAAAAAGTTCTATTCATTTTTAAGGAGTACCAATTTAATTAGGGCAAACTCACACTAGGATTGCCCTGGATGTATCCGACCGCGATTACGGCCAGGTTCACTACCTAGGAAGAGCGCAAGTGTGAGTATACGCTTTATTTCTATCCGGAACAGCCAAAGGAGTTTTTTTTTTTCAATTTTTTCCCCGTCTTCCCATTGTTTTTCCGAGGAAAAAAAAAAAAAAAAACAGTGTGTCGTGGATTGGGGGGGATTCGCTGCGCACCACGAGGGGGGAGCAGACGGAAAAGGAAAGTTGAAGACGACGAAATTGAAAAGAAGCCAAAAAAAAAAAGAAGGAAAATAAATTGAAAAGAAACCAAAACAAAAAAAAAAAGGAAAATAAATTGAGAATAAGAAATTGAGGGGGGGAAGAGGAAGAGGTAAGCGCGCGTTTTTTGTTTTTTTATTGAGTATGTGGTGGCCGTTTCGACAAACCTAGACGAAGAGGATGAGGAAGAATAGAGAAATAGAGAGAGAAATCAAGCCCCCACCCCACCCACCCCCAAAAAAAAAAAAAAACGAGGCCAACGCTATAAGTCCCATGCGTGGAAGAGCCAGGGCAGCGGTCCAGATTTGGCCATGCCATACTGCTCCTGCTCCTAAGTAGACCCCACATCTCCTAAGGCCTGCACCTAACCTGGGTAATGGTCCAAGTACACTTTGCTTTCCGGGTTGTTCGTGGAGGGCTTCCCCACCTCCCCCTTTCTTTTTCTTTTTTTTTTCTTTTCTTCTTTTTTTTTCTTTTTTTTTCTTTTTCTTCTTTTTTTTTTCTTTTTTGTTCTTTTTTTTCCTCTTTTTTTTTTTCTGTTTTTTTATTTTTTTTCCTTCTTTTTTCCCCGATCTCACGTCCATTCTCCCCCCTTTTTCATGTGATACTGTAATAGAATGATCTGAGTTTCTTCGTACAAAAAAAAAAAAAAAAAAAAAGAGTCCATGCGTGCCATGTGGCGGAAGAAAAACGAGAAAGAAGAGGATCAGAGAAGGCCTGTCGGTGGAGAAGAGGCGCCTTGTGAGCGTGCCACGCGGCGGTGGCTGGGCGAAGAGGGAAGAGAGCGGAAGAAGAGAGCAAAGTAAACGAGCTTGTGAGCGAGGCACAAGGCGATGTCATCGGCTCTCCCTGTGAGCGTGCCACGTGAGGTGTGTTCGGCGCCCTGTGAGCGTGCCATCTGTCAGTGTTCTTAGTTCCTTTCGAGCTTGCCACGTGGCGATGTGTTCTCAGTCCACTACGAGCGTGCCACGTGGCGATGTGTTCTCAGTCCATTACGAGCTTGCCACGTGGCGATGTGTTCTCAGTCCATTACGAGCGTGCCACGTGGCGATGCCATCGGCTCTCCCTGTGAGCGTGCAACGTGGCGGTGTTCGGTGCCTTGTGATCGTGCTACGTGGCGGTGTGATCGGACGAAACGGAGAAAGAAAGCTTGCAGCGGGGAATGAAATGGACAAGGGTGGAGGAAAACGGTGTCGGGGAAAAAGACGAAAGAATGAAAAGCCGAAGAGGAGGAGGAGAAGGAGGAGGAGGTGATGGAGGAGATTGGGAGGTGGGAGAGGAAGGTGGGTTGGGAGCGCGCCACGTGTCAACGAGATTGGACAAGGTTGTTGATGACGAGAGAGAGAGGAGGAAGGAGTGGAGAAGGAAGGAGAGGCCACGATGTCGGGGAAGGAGAAAGAACTGACAAGCGGAAGAGGAGGAGGAGGAGGAGGAAGAGGTTGAAGAGATCCGGAGGTGGGGAAGGAAGGGGTTTGTGAGCGTGCCACGTGTCAACGCGTTTGGATAAGGTTGGTGACGATGAGCGCGGAGGACGAAGAAGAAAGAAGAAGAATCGTTTGAAAAAATATGGGTGTGTGGGTCGGTACCTGGTCGTATTTGCCTGCAGCAATCGTTGGAGATAAAACAGGGGAGAACACGTGAGCGTGCCACGTGTCAGCGACGAATTGATCGAGAAAGGAAT